CCCTGCCCAGCTCTAGCTCCTGGGGTGCCACCTGTCCCCTGCGCATCGTGCCATGGCTGGAGCAAGGCAGGTACGACGTGGAGACGGCCTCGTAAAACACCGCCTGGAAAGTCCCTGTTTGGGGTATTTAACGTGGAAAGGTTGGTCTGAGTGGCTCAGAACAGCTAAGAAACGCAGAAAGGCTGTTCAGAAATGTTTTCTTTGCAAGATTTATCTGTACAGGGACATGAAAAGTGCATCTGTGAGCATGGAATCCCTCTGCAGCAAACTCGAGCAGCAGCCTCGGCGTGCCGACCGCGGCTTCACGCGGGGAGCGCGTGGCTGCGGGGCTCGGTGCCTCGGCAGAGGGCTGGATCGTGCCCCGGGCACAGCCATGACCTGTGCCCGTGAATGGTGAATCCGGCTGATCGTACCGCGGAGGACGGGATCGTACCGAGGTGGGAACGGCAGTGCTGGGGTAGATCAGTTGTGTTTTGACAGCACCTGTGAGTAACTGTAAGGATGGGAGGTCACTTTGCTTGTCTTGCAAGTGCAGATAGTGCCAGCGGTGCCAGTGCCGTGTTCTCTCATTGCGGCTTTGAACTGTTTCCTGTTTGATTGTTCCCTTAATCAAAAGCAAACAATCTCCAATTAAGGTGTCTTACAGAGCGTGATTTGTGTCAAATTCAGACTGCTGGTGGACCTTTGAGGCAGCGGCGATACTGAGGCCTGATTCACACGGGACTGAGAAGGGAATGGAGTGGATCAACCTTCTCCAGTACATGCAGTAAGAGCTGAGTTTGATTCATGCAAATCAAAGTTTTCATATAATGTGAGATGCTCCTGTTAGAGATAGGGTGGGAGACTGACATGAGCATTGTAATAGTGTTTTGGAAATGAGAAGGGCGTATCTGTGGCTGTATGTTTACCCAGGCGTGTTCACACACGTTCTCTTGGTGGAATGTACGTCTTTTCCATGCACTTACGATGAGGCTTCCAGCAGCCCAAGGCACCTGCAGGAGCAGCGTCTGTCGCAGCAGCAACCACTGTCTACACGTGGAGACTGCTCGGTTGGTCGCAAGGTCTGTATTGTGCATTATTAGTATACAGCCTTCTAAACTGCCACCCTAGTACTTCATGAACACGCTTTTAATAAACAAATTAATCTATTGAGAATGTTAAGCTTTACAAGCGCTGGTTCTGAATTAAAAGAAGATAGTCTTGGCAGGACATAGGCAGAAAGCTTAGCTTAGGTCCCACTCACTGAAACTGCTTTTAATAGTGGAAGTTTACTGAAATAGAGGTTTTAACCCCTGTTGTGGGTACTTGACACCAGCGGGTATCAGGAGATGTTTAAAGCCCAGGCAGCAGTTACCTGTTGATGCATTTCGTGCTAAGTGTACTCTTCATTTTTTCCCTTGAAAGGAACAACGAGCCCCAGGTGCTGGGGATGGGCACAGGGAATGAGCCCCTGTCCCAACAGTGACACATATCCCAGTAAGGTACAAGTTCTGGGGTAACTGATGGGGATCCATAACAATGGGCTGTCACAGGAAGGTGACTTGGGCCATTGCTCAGTGCCGTCGGGATGGAGGTTTGTGTGTGTAGGAATTAAAGCCCCCCAGGCAGGTGCTGAGTGAGGCTGGCTGTGACCTCACTTTGCAGAGCCACTGCCTAATGCTGACATCTCTTTTCCAGGGTGCCCTGGTGCCCTGTCCCCTCTGCTCTGCACGCTTGGCTTTGCCTATGGGAAAAGAAAATGACCAAATGGGACCAGCTGTGTGTTCTGAGCTCCTTGGGCACACGTATGGGACTGCAGAGGATTGGGCCTCTAGTGACTCTCAGGAGGTGACCGTCTTCTGAAAAGGAAAAGCAAATCCAGAGCAGTCAAAAGGCCCTGAAAGCCAGCAAGAATTACAGATAGGGATGGAAAGCTAAAGAGAGAGAAAATCTTAATTAGATCTTCACCAACCTTTTTGGATTAAAATGAAATGGAGCTTTGTACTCTCAGGGTTTCAGCACAAGAATGGAAGAGGAATTATTCGCATTTGCTGTTTGTGAAGCTGGATTGCTTTTTCTGTGAACTTGTCTTTTTAACTTCTCACCTTGTCAGAAAATTGTGAAAAGCTGCTGGGATGGTGTATTTGGGGTAGTTCTTATCACAGCACATAGCAGAAGCATTTCCATGGTTTCAGAACATGGGCAGAGTTTCCTATTTAATCCTATCCTCCCCAAGTTAAGTACTTTCCTCTTGTGGTAAGCCAGCCTGTCCACCGTTCACTAACCTGCCTTATATTTCACTACCGTCGATATTTTCTCTTTGTGAATATCTATCAATATTTAATACGGTGGTGTCAGTTTTGCTGTAAGATGAGAGGAACTACTAGAAACCTTGAATTATACATTGTGTGGCTGGGGGAAGCTGGGGAGAGTTTTCTTTTGGACCTAAAGCTCTTGGAGTTGATCTCCAGAACCTGCAGCTTGAAATCCTAATAATGGATGAGCACCAGAAGAAACTCAATCAGCGGCATGAGGGAAGGCCCCGCAAAGTGAGGTTCAAAATATCCTCGTCTTACAGTGGTCGAGTGCTGAAACAAGTCTATGAAGACGGGCAGGAGCTCGAGCCCCCGGCCAAAGAGCACTCCCGGCGTTTTCTCCGCCATGGCTTCGAGCCGGGGGACCGTTTCTGCGGGGCCAGGGAAATGCCAGAAAGCAGGTTCTGCTCGCCAGCCAAGCTGACTGCCCAGCGGATCAGCATATTCAAGGAGGACAAGAAATACGGTCTCACCAGTAACTCTCCTCTCCTCAGTGACCACCAGTCAAGCGACAGTCATTGCAGGGTGAGTAACGTCCAGCCCATGGCTGGAAACCGCTTGGAAACCAATTCCAGACCAAACCATTTGGAGTAACATGGCAATGGGAGTCTCAAACTGGAACCGCATTCAGATAAAACTCAGTTTTGTCAGTCCAGGATTTTAAAAGGTGATTGTAAATCTTCAGCCTTTATCCCAGAAATTCTGTGTTCTGCTGCCTCTGCAAATGGCAGGAGCCGCGTGCTTTGCAGCAGCGCAGTCCGCAAGTGAGCAGCATCTGCTCGCTGTGCTCCGTCTGCTCACTGGGTCGATTTGCATCTGTCTGTTTCGTACAGTAAGATACAACATTTCCATATATATCAGTATCTATGTGTAGTAACCCTAATGCATCTAAAGCAGTCAAATGTAAGATGGATATTATTTTAATTGGTTATATTTAAAGTTGTATGACTTGAGCTGGCAAAAAGGTTAGTGCCACCGGCAGCGTACCCGTGAGCCTCCGAGTGAGGCATCCCCATCCTCTGGCAAGGATCACCCTTGGGCTACTTTGAAAATCCCGGGTTAGTTTCACTGGATGTTTCGTTAACATATAATTAATGCTATTGATATAGTCCTAATAAAAAGCCAGTACAGGTGTAATACATGTTAAATTGATTAATACACAGGGATTATGTTCATTTTCTCACCCTGTCAAACTAGATTTATGTATCTTTCACTGCTATTTGGTCTATCAAATCTAGACGTACCAATTAAACTCATATGCCAACCGTGGCATATTGGCACTATCGATAACGCAGCCACGTCACGCTGGTACTGCTAATGGAGCACGTTAGACTGATATAATTGGCAGAGTTGTAAAACTGGTGGTGAGGCTGCTCAGAGGCAAGATGACAGCAAGGAAGATGGTGTGGGGTGAGCTGGCTGCCCGAATTGGTATCGGGCCCTCCCCTGGAGATGGCTCCCGGCAATCCAGCTCAGGTGCACAAGGAGCAGTTGGTGTCAGCAAACAGGTCAGCCCCTCGCCCAGTCCCCCCTCGCCCACCGCCCCGGTCTCGCGGTGCCTGCTGGTGACATCGCCCTGGCGCTGGCAGAAAGGTTGGGAATTGTGTGTGTCTCCAGGGAGAGGTGAGGCCGCTCGAGCACACCGACCGCTGCGATGTAAAAGTTGTCGTCATCCGCTGTGGTCTCCGGGTAAATAGGGAATGTCGCTCTGGCACTTACACACTAAAGTGACTGAAGTGCTTTAAAAGGTACAAACTGCTTTTTATGGCCTGGATTTGGATATGTTGAAAGTCTGTTAATTCTTGGTGCTAATCAAAGTTGTGTGCAGGAAGCCCAGACGGCTGGTATTTGAACTGCAGTTAGTGGACACACTGGACGTCTAATTTAACTGAAAATATCAAACCACGATGGATCTCTCCTGCCTAGAGACAGAGCACTAATGTGATCTTATCCATACCATTAATTTGTTCTGCGTTCCTGGGTGAGGCTCATCTCTCTTCCCCAGTTTCCCTAGCCATAAATACCTTGAATAATCACGCTATCCAGTACCGGTTTTGTTTTGCATCAACGTGCAGTTGGTATTTGGAGACACCGTGTCTGCGCAACAAGCACGAGGCTTTCAAAGCCTTCTGCAGATGGCCAGGATCTGTGCTCATGGGCCCCCCCCTCCGCGCTTCTCCCCGGAGAGACACAGTGCCCAAGTGCCAGGAGAGCCGTCAGCCACCCCGCCTCACCCGCTGCGCCTCTGGCAGGGTGTTTTCTGGGGAGAACATCTCCTTTTGCATCGCTTCTTGACACAAACTTAAACAGGGTGAGATATGAAGAGTGTGTAAAAGGATAGGCTCTGGTAACTGCCACAGGATACCTACTGCAGAGGGAAAAAGGGACCAGGTAAACAAAATGCTGCTTTCAGAGAAATGTGTGACTGTACCAAATTTAGCTTTAATATGGTTAGAAAAGAATTTAAGTTCAAATGTGCCCAGAGATGATTATTCCAACTGGCTCCTCACTGTTAGGAACACAATTTAGCATTAGACAATGAGTTTTTTTTTACCTGACCCTTTTGCCAGCATTAATAAATTACAAGGAAAAGCCACATTTTAAATCTGAAAAACCCCATTAAAGGCTGCAGAACAGGTCACCATCGTGGGGAATTTCTACTTCTGACCAAAAACGTGAAAACCCCTCTCCAGCCTCCCACCCTCCAACTACTTGGCCTTCAAAGAAATGCAGGTCAGTCCCCAGCACAGAGGTTGCTTTTCCATATATGCCAACATCACTGCTCTTAGAATTGTACCACCTTTTTTTCTTGCAGATGGGTTGGATGGAGAATTTACATCCCAGAAAGCTTTGCCCATGCAGAACATGACTTTAAAGTCAGGCTCCTAAGATTTGACTCAAAGTCTGGCTCTGATCCCAAAGCCCGTTAGGACTGTCCCTCCACTGCTGTTCTGCTCAGTGCTCTGGGTGGCTGCGGGGAGCCGGTGCGGGTGGCCAAGCAGATAACTGGGTGGAAGGGATGTTCTTCTGAAAGCCCAGGGATCATCAGTGTTTGTAGGGTGTATTTATACAGGCGAGACACTGATAAGATCCTTCTACAGGCTTCTCCAATTCTAGATTTTGGCAAGATCATCATCTACACTAATAACCTGAAAATCATCCGCGCACCAATAGACCAGAAAGAGCTCATGAGAAGAATCATCCAGACGGAGGAAGTAAATGACTGGGCCTTCATATACCAGGAGAGGAAAGAAAGATTTGGTGGTGGACACAAAAAAGATATGGAAAAAAAGGTTGTCTGCAACCGGTATGTGCAGGTAAGAGAAAATGGAAAGTGGTTTTTTTTTTTTCCCTAAGGCTTTTGGGTCTTACAGCCCTGGTCAGGCCACTGAGTATTCCCACCCAAGCCCCATCTATGTCTGTATCTGGCGCTTAACTAAGTTTATATTAAAAGCATAATTTTGTTCCTCTTTCCACATGGGAGACAACAGATCAACGCTGCACTGCAGCTTGTGCTCTGGGCACAGCTGCTCTGTTTCCAGATGCTCGTGTCTCCCACTTGATCCTTCCCCTGGAGATCACCAACATTTACGTAGTTTGGTTGAGGTCTATCCTTGGCACCAGTGGAAGGAGAGCAGGCCAGAGCTTCTCCAGCCTGACGGGGCTAAACACAGCTGCTCTGCGGTTGAGACTGCCCCAGGCTAAAATTTTAATATCAGCTGAAATGAGATTGTGCCTTCCACTTGTTTTCTCACGGGTTAGTCTTTGTTGGTCAGAATCCCAATTAGTCTGACCATAATTTGATCCCACACAACATAATGTTGTTGTGCAGCATGAATACAAAGCATTACAGCTTTGCAGCTCTGCAACCGACCTGTGCTGAGCAGCTCACCTGGGTCCTGCGGCCGTGGCCTTGCGTGTGGCTCGCTTGCACAGCGAGCCCGTGAGAACTGAAGGCAGCCCCGAGGAACTGAGGAGCAATTTTGGCCTTTGTCAGTTTTGAAATAGACTTGGTTTTCAGAAAGGGGGCTTTAACAGAAAAGCCAAGATTCATCCCATCTACTGGCAGACACCTATCTGAGTCATCAGAAAATCACTTCTGGCCTTTGGGGGAATGTGTCAAAAAGGACCTCCCTAAGGAAATGGATTGCCTTCCTCCAGTCGCCCTCCCTGGAGGACCACGCTTTGGAGAAGGACGGCAGCTCCCGTAAGGCACTGTTCCAGAGAAATTAGTTAACCTTGGAAGAACTTAGCACAAAGTACTTCTGTTCTCCTTCATGTTTGGGAACAGAAAATAAAACTTGAAGGTCCTAAAACTGATTTTTTTACAAGAATAATTTTGGACTTTCTATACATTGGTATTATGAACATTCATTTAAAGACGACCAAACCACAGGAAGGTTGTTATACTGAGAAGTCAATTAATTTGGACTATCAAGTTTGTAAGCAGGCACCAATATGAAGCATATCTGGCACCAACTCTCCATACTAGTTAAAACCTCGTCCTATGGTGCATTGTTGCACAGGAACGGTGCGGGACTCTGAACCTGGCATCAAAAGAACGAACCTACCCTGTGCTGCATCCTTCCTGATGCAGATATTTAATCATTTCCAGGCTCTGTGGAAGCACTGAATTTTAAGATGGGGTTTGAAAGAGGCTGTCTGGCACGCTGGGGGAGAGCTGCAGGCACAAGGGACAGCTTGAAAGAAGCTGTGCATGTCGGTGATGAGGGACTGGGGGGAGAGGGCAAGGAGAAACGTGTGAAAAAATGAAGTGTGGCTCAAAACTGGGAATATGGTTTTGAGATGGATGTGTTAAGAAATGACAGGAAGATGGGTGGAGCTATTCAGACCCTTGCCAGAGGAGAAAGATGAATTGGAAAGTATTGTGTTATAAGCCCAGTCTCACTAACTTCTCATTTTCTAGAAGAGTCGACAAATTGTCCCCAAATATAGGGGAGTCTTTTTCTTGAAGATCTTGCTGTAGAGAACTGAATATTATTGGCAGAGTGGTATGTCAGGAGCAACAATTATTTAAAAGACCAGAAGACAATTTCCCTCTTTCATGTATGTGACTGACTTTGGGGTCTGATTTTTTAGTAACAGATTTTTTTCATCATCCGTCTCTTTCAGGAAGGAGATGCTGAACACGGTTGTTCCCAGTGTAAAGGGTCAGGCTCTGCTCCTTGCTCGCTGTGCCACGGGAGCAAATTTTCAATGCTGGCAAACAGATTCAGAGAGTCCTACAGGGCTCTCCGATGCCCGGCTTGCAACGAAAGCGGCCTGCAGCCCTGCCAGCTCTGCGCTGCCTGATGAGCACCGCCGTCCCTGCGGCAGACTGTGAGCACCGCAGCAACATTTTGCTGAAAACTTTGAATTATTTATCCTTCCAGCAGCCTCGCTACCATGACAAATTTTCAAAAGCTGGGAAAGTCACGTGATACGTATCTCACCTCTGCGACTGACTGTCCCTCTCGTCTGCTACATACAGCTGTCCGACTGAACCAGCCCCGACCCCAGTGTCCGCAGGGGTGAACGTATCCCCCAGCGCTGCAGGAAATTACGGTGTTCGGAAGTTAAGCACCTGCGTAAACGTCTGTGGCACCTGGAACAGCCTGCATTTGCTGGCGCTGCCCCTCAGTTAGGTGTTTGGTGCTGGGCACAGCCAGGTCCCGACCCACCTGCTGCGCCAGCAACATCATTAAAAGCAGAAGTAGGTGCAGTTTGGGCACGTCGGTAACGTGTCAGGGTGCAAAGTCTGTTTGTATGCCAGCAGCAGAGCGGTGCCTCCCCAAGGTTTTGCCTTGCCGAACATTTTAAAAATTACACTGTCTGTTGTAGTTAACTCTGTACTTGCCGTGTCGCATGTGTTTCCTGAAGATTTTGCTGATTCTTACATGCGCTTTAGGGGGCACGACGATTCCTTTGGGGTCTGATTTATGGGGAGAAATTGAAAACCCTTCCCAAACCTGGAGCTATAAAATATGTAATTTATTATTATAAATAGAAGTTATTAAATTTTTAGCCTACTTATGAGGAAGTGCTGAACTAAAATTCCCCTGTATGACGCTCTGCACTTTTCAGGATCCGGCTGGTGGTGAGCAGGACTGCTCTTGGGTAATATTAATCCCATGTTGTAATCTGCAGAAGGTAAACTCTAATTAGCTGAGGTGAAGCAATGATGTGGGATGCTTTGCAGGCTGCCACTGGTGGCACAGAACACAGGGGCTTCAAGAGGTTGAGGCAAACAGGGGAAACGGTGTTTTTTTTCCCCAAAGCATTAACTTATTACATTTTATGTATTCGTGAGTAATGTGAATGCAGCCTTAACTTGCATATTACCTCTGAGACTCTGATGAGTCAAGAGCCTGCTCGCCTGTACTTCGTGCTGAGGCTGCAAGCCTAGACAGGGTAATTTATGGCCAAGTTTCTATTTTCCTATGGTAGGTTACAAGATTTCTCTGCAATGCTTAAATTGCTAGAAATAATGCCATTTTTGCTCTTAGGCTTCCATGTGTTTCCTACTGAAATCGTTCAGTGGGCATTGAGGGTTTATTTTTCAAAAAATGTGCATAAATCTATAGCAGATACTTGATTGGCTTCATTTATCGGACCGAGATCTGCCATACAAAAAGCTGCAGTCCTTGGGGTATTCGCTGCGGGCAGATAAGCCCTCACAGATCAGAAACTCTTGCCAAGCGGATCTCTTCCCTCAAATTTGACCCGTTTGATCTCAGTTTGTTGGGATTATTTAAAAGTTTGCTGGCTTAAGATAAGAAAAAAAAAGCAACCAGGCGAAATTGCTGCCTGATAGCTTAATGTTTACAATAAAACTAGATGCAAATACGCGCTTATAAAATCAGTGTTTATTGTTGTTCGGTAATTGCGATGTTTCTCAACCGCGATGACTCCTCCTGGCTGTGTCAGCTATTCCCGCTCATCCCGACGTGCCACC